GTTGCATTATTAGCAGCCGCTTCCTAGCAACGACTATTGGAAAAAACAGAAAAATTAATGTGTGCTCTAGTTATAATGAACTGCAGAGTGCTTAAATCAGTGAAGTTATAAGCGAACAATAAATTCAATTATCATTTCAGATCCTGTGTCTAGTCACTAGCACGTGACAATATAAATATAGGTACACCTTGTCATTGCAATAAGATAGACTGGAACAGAATTTAAATATCCAGGCACTGCCAAAGGTTGCACTGGGACATCTCCACAAAGAAATGACGATGTACGAAATGAGTCGAATACAGGCAGCGTAGAAACAGAAACATCGTCCGTCTTGTAGACGAGACATACAAAGACCAAGATCCGATTCGCCGAAACGATGAAGTGATGATGATGATGATGATGGTGATGCGAAAGGCAAAGAAAGGTGCATAATGGGGAGTTTCATACTGTTGTACATATATGTGTATGCATATGTGTGTACATCATCCAGAAAGGTGAGCCGAGCGGGGTATGCAGTAGGCACCAGTTGTAGCTTCAGAGGTGAACTGTGCTTACGAAGAACAGGACCTCACTATCATGTACTCGTTTCTGTTACTTCATGAAAGGCACTTCACAGCAGATGTTTACAGCCGCAATATCGCATTGTCTTCCGTATGCTGAATTCTGTTTCAGATATTTGAACTCAAGTCGCTACACGCAATACACTATGGCCCTGAGGTCGACTCAGGCTCTAACATAAATGAGTACCAGAAATATTTGTGGGGGTAAAGGGCTGCCAGCGCGTAAGGCTGACAAACTCACCGCCTTCTGTGAGCTGATTGAGTAGAAAATGTGGGAGCCTTGACGTCTTCCAAACCTACGGGCCTTCACGGCCTGTTACAGGGATAGCTTACCGCACATGCGTTGTTCCGTATGCTGTCCGACACTGGAAAAAAATATATAAATACGTATATATACAAAATAACGGTATTTGAAACCCTGGCCGATGAGCTTGCTCAGACTCTAAAGAGAAATGTCAGACGTGCCAGTACTGCTGTGTAGTCATCTTGAATCTCTATTGACATCTGAACAACAGATGTAGATTGTATACCCCTTCAAAGGAAAGTTCACGATAATGCGTTATAGTGTGATGTTTGTTCTCTCTCTTACACCACCAAAGTTTGTTGGAAAATGTTATACACCCCTGGCTAAGTATGTAGTCAGCAGAATGGAAGAATAAGAAGTTATAAAAGGAGGCATTGGAGTGGTTGTAACACAAGGGGGTGGAAACGGTGTCACAACTTATTTCAGAAATGGAAGGATGAAATTCACTCCCTACTGACTACATCACGTCTGTCATAGTGCCTTTTCCTTTGAAAACTAGGTTTCTCAAGTTTCACGGAGATTTCGACCTCTTTCTGTGTGTTACGGTTGGGTAAAAGGACCGTGTCATAGCTCAGGCGGTTAGTCGCCGGCTTCCCACCGCGGCGAGCCTGGTCAAGTCATGTGGGATTTGTGATGGACAAAGTGGCACTGAGGCAGGTTTTCTCCAAGTATTTCGGTTTGTCCTACCAATCTTAATCCACCAGTTGCTCCACAATCACCATCATCTATCGTCCGGGTCTCGTATAGTAGGCCAAAAGTGGCCGCAGTACCAAATGGACTGTCTCACCCCACGAAGAATGGAATTGAGGAATTGACTGATAAGAATGCTAATGATGAAGGTTTCTTGATGTCTCTCTGTAGTCCGACGGTTTCCTTCTTGTTACACTTTTCGCTTACACTCTTTTTCGTATGTTCTAACCTCATTGTGTTTATTACGGTGTTTGTATTCATATGTCAGAACTTGTATTACTTGCGTATGGGACGATCCGTTGTGGTTACAGATAGGGAATAAAGCCAAAAGCAGAGCTGCCGAGTTCATTGGGATATTTTCTCCCCGCACCGTGGGTAAAGCTGCCGGAGCGTAGAACTGACCACTTAGCTCCCTGTAATATCGAGGGTTTTTTTTATTTTTATTACTAGAGGTGTGGGACTAACTTCCTTGTACTGCGGCCACTTCAGGCCTATTGTACCAGCCCCAGATGATAGGTGAGGGTGATTGTGGAGCAATTGGTGGAATGAAGATTGGCAGGGGAAACAGAAGTACTCTGAGAAAACCTGCCCCAGCACCACTTTCTCCACCACAAATCCCACTTGACCAGACCCGGGATCGAACCAGGACCGCCGCGGTGGGAAGCCAGCGACTAACCACTTGAGCTATGGCGCGGCCCTAATATCGAGGTTAATGTTTGTTGATGCAAAATTCACTATAAACGAGAAAAATGCCTGAGAGTGCGCATTCCCAGAAAACAGACGTAGCCATGAGAGTGCGCATGCCCAGGATATGGAGACTAGTCCGGATAGTGCGTATGCCCAGAAAACAGACGTAGCCCTGAGAGTGCGCATGCCTAGGATATAGAGACTAGTCCGGATAGTGTGCATGCCCAGAATACAGACGTAGCCATGAGAGTGCGCATGCCCAGGATATAGAGACTAGTCCGGATAGTGCGCATGCCCAGAATACGGACAGCCCTGAGCGCCCTGAGAGTGCGCATGGCCAGGATATAGAGACTTGCCCTGATAGTGATCATGCCCATAGTAGACGTTTTATGAGAGGTGACAATTTTCCTTTTCCAATAGCAGCTAGACTAAGGGCTGGGCAACCGAAGAATCGGAATTCGATATCTGGCAGGGACACAGCATCCAGGCGACTCTGGGGCCCACCCAAATACCTACCGAATGCGTACGGGAGGGGGGGGGGCTTTTCCAAGCAGCATGAACCTGATACCTCCATCTATAGCCGATGGCAAGAATATATGGAGCTATACCTCCACTTTCAGATTCATCTTCATCCATGACAATTAAGCATAGCGTAATTGTAACCCTTTTACATTACAATCACCGTCACTGGATTAGGTGACTGCAAAAAACACAATCGTTTTCTGTTCACACGCCAAGGAGGATCAGCCAAACCCTTAACAAGCCGTACATCAGCTCCAAAGAAATCCTACTCCTTCCTACTCTACGTGCGACTCTGTCCAGTGCCCATACCTGCACGGATTGACACTTTTCGCAGTACCATACACACAGAATCTACAGGAGCGATGGGAAAACAGTGTCCGTTTGTCTGCCCGTATAGCCTTACTGTTGCGTTGGTATTCCTCGCAATTAATTTGCGCCTCTGGATACAGTCAGATTCTGTGGCCGCCTCTCCGCTGGCGTGCTGTCGGGGCACTACCTGCATGACGGGAGAGAGGAGCCTGGCCTAACCGGCTACTGTATCGAGTGATTCAGAGGAACCAGCTATAAATTATATTTATATATAAATAAATTATTGCGAGATTTGCTGAAGAACAAAAAGAAGCGGCAGGACAAATTTAGACCAGTATTCTGGTCTGGCATTCGTTTGTTGCTCCTGGTTATGACTTTTATCTCGCAGTCCTGGTTTCATTTCTCAAACGACAAAACGAAAACTCCGTGGCCTGTAGTCCGCAAGCGAACTATACCGACCAAGCGACCGCCACTTGTCGGCGAAGTTAGTGCCAACTTTAGCGGATAGAGGGTGTCGCGTGGTCAGCGCAACGAATCCCCACGGCCTGGTTTCGTTTCTCAACCATTCATATTATATTTGTGGCAAGTAAGAATGTGCGCCCGTATGGGTCTTCCTACTGTACGTTGCGCCGGTTCAGTTGAAATAAAGGACAGCGAATTTGTGGTAAAAACTATTTATGTAAATGAGCTAAACTGGATAAAAACCTAGTAATGACGATGTCACTTTCATCATCCCACCCAAAATCATCTACACAGAAGTTAGTAGTTACAAGCTAATTATAGAAATTTGTAGTATATTTCTGTGGAAAGTATACGCTGGTAGGCATATTCATTACCTCTGTCTAAAAGTTGTAATATACGTCAAACTTTCTCTCAGTTGCCAACTTAAATTACGGGACTAAATTGTGTTCTTTCTTCTTGTAAAATTTCCATGTATATTTTTTTGTAATAAATGCCGCATCCTTAGCTGAAACGGTTCATTAGTTGTTGCCATTAAACTGGAAGCTTATATGTCCGGTTGTAAAGGTGAAGTTGTCCCTGTGCTTAATTAATTAAGCACTACGCCATGAAGGCGTATAGGGGAATGGATGTGTAGATCCACATTTTCTTGACCTCGGCACTAGCTGTAGGTAAATGGTCGGCTTCACGGATCGACCGCTTTACCCCGGGGACAGAGCCCCCGATACCCATTGGTTACGAGGCTGGGTGAACCCCAGAACCGGTCTGGACGACGTGGAGAAGAGAAAATATTTGATCCTACCGGGACTCGGAACTCCGATCCGTCTGTCGTCCAGCTTGTAGCCAGTCGCTATACCGACTGAGCTGTCATGGCTGAAATACGTCCAGGTATCTCATATTATTGCCCCTGCTTAAGAAACTTCCCCTGCCATCATTGTGAGTTTATTGATAGGGAACGAAACGGATGAAGTCCCAATGGTAAGATGTCCCAACAATGGTTGATGAAAATCATCAAATGATTTCGAAGTTATTGCAGTTACACAGATCCTCGGCCCATGTGCGCGCTATCATAACCTCCAAACTCATCGCTTGTTGGTGACTGCATAAAGGGGAAGAATAGAATACATAAAAGAGATGGAGTGTTCATGGAAAAATGAACCAAAGTCTTTAAATATTTAGCTTACAGACGCACTTGTTGGGTTCTAATCAAGAAGCCTTTTGAAATCTGCTGCTTGGAAGATATGAATAGAAACCTCAGGATAATCTGCAAGAGAAATGGGTTGTGACGATAGGAAAATGAATAATAGATTAATTCAGAATCGGATACAGTTAGAAGCTTATCTTTCAATTTCCACAAAATTATAAAATGTTCTTAACCATCTGAGACAGTGCCAAGTGGTAAAGCCTACCCTGAACATGGAAGTTTAATTATATACATGGTCATCTCATTTGTATTATTATGTTTGCAGAGTAACCCGTATGCGCTGAAAGACGGCAGTTCCTCGGCAGACATGTCTGCTTGGACGAGTGCAGGTCTTCAACCCACTACCGGCTACTACCCGTACGACCCCACGTTAGCAGCCTACGGGTGAGTGTACTGTGTATGTGCAACATCTAGTTGTATGATCTACTGCGCCGCCGCAGAACTTCATTGTAGCCTGTAGTGCATTGTAAATTTGACGTAAGTAGGTATCGGTAACACAATAATCGTTAATTATTGATTTCTAAATAATATTGTCACGTTTTGGGGGGTGTGTGACTTTATAGATGGGTTTTGGTTTCGATGATTGGATTTATTGCACCTTATACATTCACACAACTCGGGACTACAGGCAAAACAGCGCTATCGCTATTCTGCACACTTTGCAGTTCACCGTTACACAAGCACTAGTGTTCTCAGTCTTCAGTAGTCTCATCCTGGCAACGGATATTCACACATTAGTTATACCAATGTCACTGTAACTTCAAATTATACATGAAGTCTTCACATTATAATTAATTTCTTGCCATTTATTCTCAATCACCTTCGACTGCCATCTCCAGAAGTCGACCACATTCTCGACAACTTGCTAAGATGAACTCTTCTTCAACTGAACTCTCTCATCTTCTGACAACAACCAACTCAAATGACCTTTTCCCCTTTATAACCCCTCCACGCTGATCACGCAGCAAAAAAAGCCTCTCTATGGCTGAGAATGCTTGTTTACTGATGTATTGCCTGGCAGTGGACGTCCTTTTATTGCGCGCGTGCGCTTCCGCGGAAATGTGTTTGCCGAGTCGTTGCCTAGCAATAGGTTTATACGTCACAATATTAAGAGCAGATTAATCAGATTAATTTTATGGAATCTTCCATTATGACACACGGTACGTCACTGTAGAGAGAGGATATGCTATGTGGTCTCATTCGAGATTAGGTTTAATACGTATCTCAACACCACGATGACACCATCGAAAAGTAGGGTATTGCTTCTGTGTTAGCCAAAGTTTATTATTTTTGTACTTCGTTGTATATAGACCTGTCTAGATACAGTGTGTGGAAATAATTAAAATCTATTTAACAGTTTTTAAGGTACCGAATTTCTTCACCATTCTCTTCAGTTCCCTTGAGATAGCCCCATCCGACTTCATTTTGTTGTTATTGTAAAGAGTGCTCAAACGCCACAGTTTCGATCTGTGTACGGATCCATCACAGACTGACAGTTGAGCACAGGGGCAAACAATTCTTCTGGCTTCTCTATTGTTTTGTCCGCTATTGCCACATGTGGCGCTGTGGGAAACCTCTTCGTCTCACCGTGGAAAAAGAAAGGGAAATTTTTTCCTTTTGTCCTTTTTTGTTGTTATTCCGTGTTTATATTGTACATAAATATAATAGCATGATGTCCTTTACATGTTGGCACTTGGTTTACAACTGAAATCAATAAAACAGTAACACAGAGACATCTATAAAATGAAACGAAAACATGGAACAACGGACACAGTGTGGCTTTGTGATGTTATCTGTCGTTTCTGTGACGCGTTTTGTACGAAACTGCACGAGTCCCACTAGAACATCGATACAAAGCCTGGTTCACATGATCGCAATCAGCTGACGACTTTTTTTATGTATTCCCCCCTACAGTAATATTAAGAGCAAGGAAATTTTGAGTAATTCGGAATTAATAAGAGACTTTAGGTCTCCGTAGTCTCTCGCTGTAGGGGAAGAACAGATGAGAGAATTGAGGCTTTTCCACAACAAGATTGTGTGGGCTTCTAGAAAGGGGAAGCACCAGGTGATGAATTACATAAAATGAGTTTTCAGTTTATACTCGTCACCAGATGTTTGGCTCATCAGATCAGGGAGGATATGGGAGAGATATTCAGCACATGAAACTGAAATGAAAACCAAGCAGGGGGGAACGGGACTGTGACACTAAAATACGAACGTACGATGTGAGTTTCCGATATGAATTGAGTTGGTTCGAGATAAGGTCCATTGGCGGCCTTATGAACGCATAAAGAAAATCTTGGGTGTTCCATAGCGCCGAGAAGTTCTTTACCCGACAAACGTATACCAGTTTTCAACATACACGCAGACTCTACATCATGGAGAATCGATGTCTGTTAGTAAACTTAGTTATCTCGTCCAGTCAACGTTTAATTTACCTTCCTTTCAAATGTTAACGGTATCATGGCCGTGGGTGTGCCAGTCCCCCCCCCCACAAAAAAAAAACTTTGTAGCAAATTTGTATACATTTTGTGAAGCTTTACATGAACATTATGCCGTTAGAAGCTAGTTGTCGTAATAAATTCCCTGTCACCGTTAATACCAATATGACGATAATGCAGACTTTTGTTGTGAGATAGTCTAGCGCTATTTCACGTAAAATTCAGAATGATTGCGCTAAATGACCTTCAACACACTACCGGTCTTTAAATAAAATAACATAAACGCCGCATGAAGTCTACATATAACTTACGTGGACAATAATTACTACAATTACAAACATTACATTTCGAGTGACTGAATTATAAAGGCGCAAATACATTTTGTAATGAACATTTATTTTATTATTAAGAATTACAAAAGTTGCAAACAAGGCGACGGAGCGAATATTTGAACGTTATGCCCGATACTTTTCCAGTACTCGCAGTTTAAACTATTGGACAATATGAACAGAAACAGAAAACTGAAACCTAGGCCTAACATTCTTAATTCAAAATTAATTTTTAACTAACCATGTAGATAGATGTAAACGTTGAGGCACTATGCTACAAGCCGGGAGATCTCGGGTTCGATTCACGATGTCACTGGATTTTTTTTTTCAGTTGACCTAACCTTCCAGTCGCACTATGGCCCTGGGGTCGACTCAGCCTCTAACAGAAATGAGTACCAGGAATCATCCTGGAGGTTAAAGGGTGGCTGGCGCGTAAGGCCGACAACCTTACCGCCATCTGTGAGCCGATTGTCTAGAAAGTGTAGGAGCCTCGACGTCTCACAACCCTATTGGCCTCCACGGCCTGTTACAGGGGTAGCTTTATCTTTAGCTTACTTAAGTTCTATCTAGAAATCCTTGCTTTGGAGTGACTAGCAAAACAGTTCAATAGAGAAATGCCTTTCCGTGTAATATCCAGTACAGGATAAGAACAAGCCTGTTACATATGGATGAGGCCAAGGAAATGCCTGAGCATCGCTTACCGCAGCTTCACCAGACGCAACCGCAGAAATACCAACCACTGCCTCCTGAAAACGAGAAATAAAAGATGCTTACTTTTAAAAACAACAGACATTTGCAGCTTTCGCTTTTCCGAAAAGACGGAAGAGATATACTCCAGTTTAAGGTGTCATGCTTCTGTGAGCATTAATGTGTATTTATTTAAAACAGTCCCAAGTTTTTTCTCTTCCACTTCTGTATTATTATCCATTGCATTTTGAATTTGTGCTACAGAAATTGCAACAAAAATTTCGTAACTGGAAGAAATGAAATTAACTTTTTTTATTCATTTATTAAGCAATCAGAATGTACAATCCTATGAGCTAGTTTGCTGGCGTAAGAGCTGTGATGCTCTTTAATGACGTGACGAGTCCCTTCCCCAGTGGAGGTTCCTCTTAGTTGTCTTTTAGGTCAGCTGGCCAGTATCTTCGGAGGCTTCGATTGTGCTGCGGTTCAACGAGTGGCTGTAGGATGTCTTTGGGTGATTGTTAGTTTGTTGTGTGTAGTACTTTTTTTCCCTGATGACGTCTTTGATGTATGGTATATTTAGATCTGTATGTAACGTTTGGTTGTTTACATACCAGGGTGCATTTGTTATAATTCGAAGTATTTTTGACTGGCTTCTCTGGATTATTGATATATTTGATTTGCTAGCGCAACCCCAGAGCTTGATTCCGTAAGCCCAGATTGGTTTGATTATTGTCTTATAGAGCAGGACTTTGTTTTCTATGGAGAGGTTGGATCTTCTTCCTGTTAACCAGTTTAGCTCCTTGGTTTTAAGTCTGTTTGCGTTTTGTGATTACGTGGTCTTTCCAAGTGAGTCTACTATCCATATGGATTCCGAGATATTTAACGCTTGGAGACTGTGGGATATTGTTATTATACAGCCTTACTTGTGGGCAATGCTCTAGCCTTAGCGTGAAGTTCACTTGGATAGTTTTAGCCTCGTTTAGTTTAATTTTCCATTTGTGTAGCCATGCTTGTATTTGGTTTAAGTGGTTTTGTAGGATACTGGTGGCCTTTGCTGGATCTGCATTGGTTGCTAGGATGACTGTATCATCTGCGAAGGTTCCTGTGGTGGTGTTTTCATCGGTTGGTAGGTCCGCCGTATAGAGAAGGTATAATAGTGGTCCTACTACACTGCCTTGCGGTACCCCAAATTTTATAGTAAAGTTAATAGATATTGCTCGATTGATTCTTACTCTGGATTCCCTGTCGTTGATGTAGGACTTCATCAATTTGAAATAAGTGATGGGAAGATTCTGTTTAATTTTATATAATAGTCCTCTATGCTAGACTTTATCGAAGGCCTGCTTTATATCTAGGAATACGGAGGTACAGTATTCTTCACAATCGAGTGCTTGGTTTATGGTATAGGCTACTCTGTGTGTTTGCTGTACAGTTGAATGTTGTTCTCGAAAGCCAAATTGATGTCATGGTAACCAGTCTTCTGTCTTGGGATCGTTGTTTATTCTTTGGATCAGGAGTTTTTCGAGGAGCTTGGCAATAACTGGGAGTAAGCTTATAGGTCGGTATGAATCAACTTTGGTTGGGTCTTTGCCTGGTTTGTGAATTAGGATTATTTCAGCAGTTTTTAGTTGTTTCGGCCAGTAGTTTATTCTGAAGATAGCACTGATGATGAAAGTAATTAACAGTACGGCTTTTTGTGACAATTCCTTTATCATTTTGGGGGTAATTTGGTCTATGCCTGGAGCTTTACGTAGTTTTAGATGGTTTATTTCTTTTTGTACTTCCCTTATGGTGATGTTTTTAATTCCCGGTATGTTCGCAGGGATGTTTGACAATTGTTCTTCTACTTCAGGATCTATTTCAGTGTCGTTTGGTGTATATACATTTGCAAGATGTTGAGTGAACAGCATTGTCTTTTCCTTGTCGC